CTACAGACGTTGCAAGTACTGCGGCATCGGGATTCGGGCACTGAAAAGGGCCGGGAAGGATACGGTAAGCAGAGAGGGCTCGTAGTACACGCCAGTGGTTGGGCTAGCGTATTTAGGGAGTAGATTTGGCGAGGGGCCGCTTCAACCACAGGAATGGAGCCGATCGCTCACCCTGAGGCCCGCGAGGGGCATTGTAGCTGCTGAGCAGTGCGACGATACACCGAAGAAAGTTGTGTCTTTTGAGTGATTTTTTAGGTGGTGGTTATGGTCGAAGGGCATCCTCACCAAAGTGTTATCAGTCGACATCTGAGGAACAAATACGGCGCTAGAGGATTTCCGTTCTTCATCATTGACGGCGATCGATTTGGCTACCTGACAAAAATAGTAAGATGCATTCGCTCGGTCCGGAATTTTCTTATAGTGTTATTCCCTGCGAGCCGAATCTAGTATGGTTCTGGCGGTGTTTGCACTTCACTGGGGCTAACCAGCTGCCTGTGCTTGCGTGTGTGTTTATGATTTGCTTGTCTTAGAAGCAATACTTGGCGGATGAGTCTCCCCGTTGAGGCAAAGAACCCACGCGGATACTCATTTTGGACTTCCAGGATTTTGTTTTTTTGGGAGAAGCTTCAAGATAGTCTACTGGGGCTCGAATACCGCGGGCAGCGTTTCTTTCATGCACTCTCATGTTTTCTTCTGTATAGTTCGCGACCACCTGAGGGTGGCGGTAGCAGTCGAAATGCAAAGGAGGCCACGGCAACCCAGCAGTGAATGTTTTCGTGGGACTCTGCTGGCCGCTCTCAAGGAATTGCCTGCGGTCTTCTGCGTTAAGACTGGACTGTTCGAATTGTATTTTTTTTTGTTTCCGCATGTACTACTCTGTGCCTGTCGAGGTGCGTACAGCTTCTCAAACGGATTTATGCTGAGACATACGTCGCATGTATAAGCTGTTTCATACTCCGGACCTCAACTCTGGGGCGCGGCTTGTTTTGGCACGCGTAGCTGTACTCAAGACGAAGCACTTTTGGTACATATGAGACTCCTAGTGATGTTCAAGATTTTGTTTCGCCTTGAGCCTAGCTACCGTTGATACCAGTAGTTCTCAGAAAAGTCCAGCTAGATCGCTCGCCGCAGTGCAGTGCAAGTATAGTGCTAGTCATCAGCGGATGCAGGGCTTCTATCAATCAGCTTTACTGAATACCTTCAAAACATTAATCTCCT